GTTTAGGGTTTTGGGTTTCGGGTCTACGGCTTTGGGTTCAGGGCGCGGGGCCTCGGGTTTTGGGGCTTCGGGTTTTTGCATGTCGGGTTGTGGATTTGGGGTTCAGGGTTTAGGGTTTCGGGTTTTGGATTTAGGATTTAGGGTTCTGGGCTTCGGGCTTTAGGCTTTTTATGGTTTTGGGTTTCGGGTCTCGGGTTGAGGGTTGGAGTTTAAATGCTCTAGATCTCAATGTCAGAGCTCCGGCGGCCCGGAGAGCCATTTAGGGTTTAGGGTTTAGGGTTTAGTAAGGGTTTAGGGTTTAGGGTTTAGGGTTTAGGGTTTAGTAAGGGTTTAGGGTTTAGAGTTTAGTAAGGGTTTAGGGTTTAGGGTTTAGGGTTTCTGGTGCATAAGGTGGGGAGCACCCGCGTACTCAGGTTCTGAGGCGTGAAGCCCCCGACAGACTTCGACGACACGCGCCTTTTCTGGATGATACAGATAGATGAGCGATTTTTACAGCGGCTAAGGTTCTGATTTTGGGGTGCATGATAGCATGGTTATGTGGGCGGTTGTCAAAATTATGGTCCCTTTTGCGGTCCTTATTATAATACGGCACCATTATTTAGGGTACCCCAAAGGGGACCATAATTTTGACAACTACCCATGTAGGGAATATATGGGGAATACAACCATGATGCTACTACTACATGTTCCGGACCGTCACTTTAGGAGCCTGCAACACCATATAGTATGAGAACCATGTTTTAGGGTTTAGGGTTTAGGGTGTACAAGCCCATAACTTCACGCAAAACCTTGCAGAACCCTACGTAGAAGCCTGCCGTTTGGGCTTCATGGTTCTCTGCAACCCTAAAGCCCTAAAACCCGAAACCCTGGGCGTGAAACACTAGATCCTTGTACGTCAAGAAGGCAGACCTTGATCTACCCGAACCTGCTTTTTATAGGGCCTCTATAAATTCTGTAGTAGGGTTTATAGGGAGACTCTGCAAAAAGAGGAGGTTATGGTAGCTAGGGTTAGTGCTCTTTGGCTTCTTGTCCCTAAACCCTGAACCCGAAACCCTAAACCCTAAACCCTAAACCCTAAACCCTAAACCCTAAACCCTAAACCCTAAACCTTGCTGCTGCCAGGGCACTTCGCACTCAGCGGTCGCCGCTCCTGACACCAGGTGAGCAAAGGCGAAGGGTTTAGGGATTTAGGGTTTAGGGTTTAGGGATTTAGGGTTTAGGGTTTAGGGATGAAGGGTTTAGGGTTTAGGGTTTAAGGATTTAGGGTTTAGGAGTTTAGGGATTTAGGGTTTAGGGCTTTGGG